ATATAGCAGAGACAGGAAGGATCCTAGTATCAGAAAACCCTAAGTCTGAGGCAAGGTTCCTGCACCTATTACTCTGAAATCTTTATGGCTCAGTTTCTCTATCTTTCAAAAAATGGGAGTAATACAAACATCTACCTTATGAGGTGATTAAAGTGAAAATGCAAATGGAAATGCTTCAAAATACAAGAAATATGAGTTGTAGTTATTAATATTAATGTGATCCTTAATGATCAGTGACAAGAATAAATTATCTTATTCCTGGTAAAGAATCAACATGGCTCTACATAAGTGTAGAGTACTGTTGGGTTTCCCATGCCCTTTATGATGACATTTTGTTCCCCCATTTAAGCCAGGATAGCATATTGGGTCCATGTTTCCAGCGAAATGACTTTAATGAATTCTAGGTTATTTTTCTGAATCATTAATGATGTGACATACACCCTTTTATTCTATAACTATAAGTAGATCCTGTATCTGGGAGAGCACTGCCTTGACATTGATAGTATAGAAATCACCTCCCTCTCTTCTGTCCTCTGACATGGATTCTAATGATCAACTTGCAGACTGCCTCCATCAACTTGACTTTTTAGTTTATCTATAAAGCCTAGTATCATCTAAATCATGTGTAAAGACTGTCCCTTATACTGCTTTCATAACTGAGGTTCCATCACCAACAAATATGGTGGTAACTGACCATAAAAAATAGATTTTAAAGGTAGAACCTGGCAAAGCTTTCTGAAAATCTAAGTAGATCCTCTTGATGAGCATGTATGGTACACCCTTATAACAGTGACACTTAGACTTGATTCCCGCTATAGACTCCCAGCGTTACCATGACCCCCACTGCTTGTGCCCACCCCTTACACTCACACTGGATTCAATTCATGTTGAAGTATTTACAGACCTCATCCATCATCATCAGCTTCGGTGGTTTGCCCCCCATAAGGGCTGAATCCTTACAAACTGGAATGGTCTGCCAGTTCAGGTCGAATGAAATATTTTGACACCATTTTCCCAACTTCATCTCTGAAATTCTTCAGGACTCATGGCTGTATCTTTTGCTGCATCAGTAACTTAACTATTCTTGTTACCTGGTTTGGGGTATCCTTAGTACAACTGACCCTTGAACAACATGGGTTAGAAATGCACAGGTCCACTTATATGTGGATTTTTTTCGATAAATACAGTAAAGCACTGTAAATGTATTTTTCTTCCATATGATTTGATTTTCTTAATAACATTTTCTTTTCTCTAGCTTACTTTGTTATAAAAATACAGCCTCTGATACATATAACATACAAAATGTGTGTTAATCAACTGTTTATGTTATTGGTATGGCTTCTAGTCAAGAGTAAGCTATTAGTTGTTTGGGGGGTCAAACAACTGTACAGGGGGTCAGTGCTCCAACCCCCATGTTATTCAAGGGTCAACAGCTCAATATTACTTAATACTTAAATTTCAGAAAGTAAGATATTTGTTAAAATTTCACAAATTCAGGACACCTGGGTGGCTCAGTCAGTTAAGCGTCTGCCTTCGGCTCAGGTCATGTTCCCAGAGTCCCAGGACCGAGCTCTGAGTCAGGCTCCCCTCTCAGCAGGGAGTCTGCTTCTCCCTCTGGCCCTCCTCCTTCTCGTGCTCTCTCTCTCTCAAATAAATAAATAAAATCTTTAAAAAAAAAGAAATTTCACAAATTCTTCAATAACAACTGAGAAAAGTCATTCCATCAGTTACTTTTCTCATTTCTCCCCTTCCACAATCATGAAAGAATTTGAGGGTTTTCTGATTGGCACCATTTCTTTATATCTTGTGGGGATCTCTTACACGCCTGATGGTTACCAAAATATATTTTTTGGTCAATTAATTTCTATTTAACACACATTATTTCCTACATAGTCATTTAATAATCTATTAAAGTTTTCCAAATCCTTGTGTGGGTTGTTTTTTTTTTTTCGGTATTTAAAATGTTCCACTGGTACAAAACATACACTAGGTAGCTTTGCTCTCTTTGTTAGAGGTTTCCGCAATAGTGTAAGGAATAAGTGATATCCCACTTTGTGTCATCTTTGGTTTTGTGGGCAGAGCTGAACCTGAATTTGGTGGGGAAAAAGCTTCTGGTATAAAGATGGCTTTTCTTTTTGTGGGCAGGCTTTTCAATCTTAAATGAGGGATCCCCAAACTCTAATAGAAACCCCTCAGCACATCCACTGTCCCCTCAGGAGCAAACCAGAAAGCCTACCCTGACTGGCCTCTGCAGTAAGACAGACAGAGGGCGCATACAGTCTTTGCCAAGAGGGAGGGCCAATCATTTGGGGAGGGATGGGAGGAGAAAAGATGTTTCCCGTCTAGAGTTTCTAAGATTGTATTACAGATGATAAAACTAAGATGAAGGGACTTTAAAAAGTAGCTGGCTCTGCCTCTTTAATTACCCTGTCTAGAAAGAAAGTCTGTCATCAGGGCTGGAGTCTGGGTCTGTTCAAGAGATTGATTGGAGTAAGACACTTTCTTCGTCCAATCTAGATTGCTTCAGTTTTACTGGAATTGCGGCAGGCCATAAACCTATCAGTGACTCAAGAAAATGGAAGCAATTAAGTCTGCAGGTGTGCATGTTTGTCATATTAATGATGAATCTGTGTTAATACAAGTCACAGAAGGCTGCCACATGGCACATTCGTGTCTGTTGGGGGTGACATGACCTCACGAGGCTGACACAAGGGAGTCCTGCTTCGTGAGGAGAGAGAGACCTCCCTCACCTGCCCACGCTCCCCCCTCCACCCCGGCACTGGCTTACGATCCTCCCCCCATCACGGCTACAATTCCAATCAAATTATTTCATAGATGCTTAATTTGACTCAGGTGGAGAAAATGCCAGTTACAGATACCCAGTTAGATATGGAAGGAGTATAATTTGCAGGCATAATTTTGGAGTCTGCGACAGACTGCGCTTGCGTATCAACCTCCCTACTTAATACTGGTTTGTCTTGAACAGGTTATTTAAGCCCCCAAAAGGATTATATCTACTTTATAAAGTTGTTGCAAGCAGGAAATGAAGTAATAAGTGTAAAGCTCTTCAGACAGTGTCTTGTAGCTGTGGTCACTTCAATGATTTCTCCTTTTCTGACCTTGAAAATATTTTTGCTCCTAGAAATGATTCTTCAGAGGCTGGCAGACTACTTCAGGGTGAGGAATAGTATTAGGAAGGTTTATGAAGAGAACAGTAGGCCAGGGCACGAGCTGTCCCTCCTCCCACAGCCCTCTCCTTAGGCATTTCTTCCCACGTGAGCCTCTCAGAGTGGGCCCCTCACCGAGGGCAGCCTGTCTATGGACGCGGCAGTGACCCATGACATGGTCCAGCACAAGATGAGCTAATCAGATTCTTCCTCTTAGGAATCTCAAATAGGGAATATGGAACAAATCAGGCAAAAATCAGCAGAAGCCGAGCTCAGAGAGCTGTACAGTAAATGCACATATGGGGAGTCTCTGTGCCATAAGGGCCATTTCAAGCTGGAGAAATGAGGAAATAGAAAAAACATGAGTAAGCAAAGCTGTGGGGTCGAGAAAAGACATGGGGCAGAGAGGGAAAGGCTCGGCAAGATGGCAGGGGGTAGAAGAAGCTGATGCATGGCAGGATAACACAGGGAATATCCCAAAGCCCTCTACAGAGCCCTGAGCGCTGTCCCGTGACCCAGGTCCACTTGCCCTGGGGTCCAGCAGGAGCATGAGCCCTGCAAGGTCACTGCCTCCTGCTGACATGTGTGAATCCTCTCGAGGATTTTCCCTGAGGAACTGAGTCCTCACACCTTGCAATCACAGGGGTCTATCCACCGAGACGTGGACACCCTTCAGAAGACCCAAAACGCTCATCAAATTCTGAACTCCGACCCCTCACTGGACAACCTTGATCATGACGCACGGCACAGGCTTCCTCCGATCCGTCTGTCCAGCTTACCACAAACTCTTCCTGTCCCCCAGAACAACAGGCAAATAAACACATTTCACTCCTTATGAGAGAAGCCATAAACAATGTTTGCTGAGTCAGTGAGAGAGTCAACTAGATCCGGGTTCCTTCAGAATTGTATCTTTTCAAGTCTGGGTATGGCCCTGAAAGTCTCTTTCTAATTTTTTCCCATCTGTGAAATGGGAGTCATGCTAGCCTGAAGAACAGTGTCAAACCACAATGTGTTGCCTCTAAAAGGCGTGAAACACATGGGTAGATAATGACGCTGGAAAGGCAATGCATTCTTCTTTATTATAAAAGAAAAGATTTTCCTTCGCCAACCCACATAACTCAACAGTCAGCAATAATGAAAAAGGAAACAAAAAAAAGCACTGTACATGACAGCTAAAATCAGAATTTGATAAAATATTCTACTTCTAAAGGGATCCTGTCAAGTAAAAAGAAAAAAAATCAATTTGAGTAGGGAAGAAAAATCTGGTTTGTTTATTAGTTTTGCTCCTAATGCCACCAAATGGACCTCAATCTGAAATGGCTTTTGAAATCAAATTTGCTGCTCTCCAATTCTGCAACTTACTCTTTATGCTAATTTGTCTGCACCTGCGGGGACAAAGACTCTGGCAGTACTGAACACGAGAGCCAGGAAGAAAAAGCAGCACAAAGATTCAGGAAATTAAACCAGGACTAAATCATATTAGGTGTATAAAGGTTGGACTTTTTATAAAACAAGGAAAGAGTGGATTGAATGTCTGAGAGCGTATTCCGACTGGCAAAATGAGAGGCTGTTGGTGAAGAAACTGGTGTCTTTCCCAGGTCCCAGAAGAACGGTGGCATGGAAGGGTGGGGGATAATCTGTAAGTCCCAGTGCCGGGGCCAAGCCCAGTTTCCCCCAGCCTTGTGCATCTTAATCGCAGGGTTACTGTAAGAACGTGTCAAGGAGTTTCATCCTTCAGGAACTTAGCTCCTAGAAGCTGGCGTTAATTCTTACTTCCAATTTAAAAATCTACAAGGAGAAAACTCAAGTCCCCATTTTCCCATTGTTTCCCACTCTCTGTGCCTTCAAACATTTCCCTCCTCCTGCTGACCTACTTCATCAGGCATGCTCTCTAAAGGTGGCTTGAGACAGAACGGAGTACCACAGCCACCACGAAACCAAAGGACAGAAGTGCTATGAAGGAGCTCAAAGATATTGTCCTCATCTTGCAGATGCCCAACCCCTCAACAGCAGAAACTCCACAACCTCTATTTAAACCAGAACAAAATTCCGAGAGTTAAATATTTTGCCCAAAGTCACACGGAGCATTAGCTCATAAGACATCCAGAGAAAGCGTCTCAGACTGAGGTTCTTTCTGTTATACTGCCTCTCAGGATCCAGAAAAAAATCGGAAGTATAATTTTTATATTCTAAAATGCTTCTACTTTGAATATTTTCTCTATTGCTCTGTCCGGTGTATTCAATCTTAGACTCTGCACTGTCAACATTCAAGTTCTGTCAACAGCCACTAACTGTTGAGGTCCAGTGAGTGCCATGAATGTTACGTGTTTAATGCTCAAGGAAAAATATCCATTTCCACCTTGGAGTTATTAGACCTAGGGAAAAAAAAATCAATTTGGCACGTAAAATGTTCAACAGCCACACTCTTAACTGTCCTTCCTCTTCTAGCCTAAACATCTCTTCATTCCTCCATTTTTTACCCTATCACCAGGCGTAAAAGAATACAGGCATCACACACCTCAAAAGATATGTTATATAAAGTGAAATAAAAAGGGAATCAATTTTGGATTCAACAGTTTGATTTTTCACTAGACCAGCTGTCATTTCCTTTAGACCAATACTAATTTCTTACAGAAGTAAGGTCACTTTTACGGTTAGTAATTACAGCAAACGCATTTCTGTAACAAATAACACAAACCAACTTAGGAAGTAACTCTTTCTCATTAATTGATTGAGGACAGTCTGCGTATCCCCTATTTGTGAATACAAGGTGATGGAAAATAAGAGGTTAATTGACTTTCTCAAAATCATGTCATGCAACAGGATTAGCGTTAGGGTTCACAGCGCCTACCTCTTCAGTCCAGTTTGTTATTGGAGTCACAGAGGAATGTCTTTTAGTGAAACTTCTTGAGATTTTATGTCCCTAATTCTGTTCTGTTTCCCTAGGGAGGAAGTGTAGTGAAGGGGAAAGAGAATGGACTTTAGAATCAGACAGACGTGGTTAGACTCCCAACTCTGACATTTGCTGGTCAACAGATCCCAGGCAAGTTACATAACCTCAGAGCCTCTGTGTCTTCATTTGTAAAACGTACATAATAATGCACACTTCAAAGGGTGTGTGTGCATTAAATGAGACCATGGGTGAAGTGTGCAGCAGACGCTCAATACATGTATGTATCCTTCCTGTCTGTATTTTTTTTCTTGGACAATTAAAATATAATGAGCCACAAGAGAGATAACAAACCAGAAACTGGAGACCTGTCCTCACTTATTTCCAATTAGCTGGTGAGTTCTAATGCTTCGCCTTGAAAATAAGATAAAAACTGTGTACAGAAAATGCACTGATGGTATCATTTTATTTTATTTATTTTTTTAAGATTTTAAAAATTTTTTTAGAGAGGGGGGAGAGAGAATCTCAAGCAGACTCCCCACTGAACAGGGAGCCTGATGTGGGGCTTGATCCTAGGACTCTGAGATCATGACTGAGCCAAAAATCAAGAATCAGACACTCAACAGACTGAGCCACTCAGGCACCCATTTTTTAAATTAATTTATTTAATCTCTACCCCAAATGTGGGGCTCAAATTCACAATCTCAAGGTCAAGAGTTACATGCTCTACTGACTGAGCCAGCCAGCTGCCCCCCATGATACCATTTTAAATGCCTGGGTCTTTTTGCTGGACAACATGGAGCAGGGAAAACATGAACAGGAAGAAGGAAAACCAAGGATCTCTTGCCTGATTGGGTCACTAGTAGACACTGTGAAGTTTCACTCACCCATCCATTCATTCATTTCTTTTTCTTTTTCTTTTTTTTTTAAAGATTTTATTTATTTATTTGAGAGAGAAAGAGATAGTGAGAGATAGCATGAGCGGAGTTGGAGAAGGAGAAGCAGGCTCCCCGAGAGCAGGAAGCCCAATGTGGGGCTCAATCCCAGGACCCTGGGATCATGACCTGAGCCGATGGCAGACACTTAACCGACTGAGCCACCCAGGTGCCCCTCATTCACTTCTTTAAAAGTATTCTCCTGAGTCCTATCTTCACACCAAATACTAAAGGTTAAAAATATGAATGAGCTGGTCCATAAGTTTACATTCTAGAATGGGCAGGGGGAAAAAACTCAACAACTAGGAATGCCATAAAGGGGCTGCCGGAGAGGTATGCACAGGACAGAACTAGGATATAGCTTGTTGTTGTTGTTGTTTTTTAATTTTTTTGACCATTTTCACATCTTTGACCACCCAACAACATCTAAACATTGTGGTTTATTCCTCCCTAAACTTTGTTTTAATTGAAGCATAGTTCACACTGTCACATTAGTTGCAGGTATACAACACAGTGATCCGAAAAGTCCATACGTTGTGTGATGCTCACCACGGTGAGCCGTCTGTCACCGTGCAACACTATTCCAATACTATTGACTATCCTGCCTAAAATCTGATGTTTTCTTAAAATTTTTAATTGCGGTATAGCTTACATAGAATATTCAATTAGTTAAAATTATTAAATAGTAAATTAGTTATAAATTAGTTTCAGGTGTGCAACATAGTGATCCAACAATTACATACATTACAAAATGCTCACCACGGATAGTGTATTAGAGTGTTATTGACTATCTCCCCTATGCTGTACTGTCCGTCCCCATGACTTACTTATTTTATAACTGGGAGTTTGTACCACTTAATCCCCTTCGCCCATTCCGCGCCCATTCCCCCCACTCTCCTCCTCTTCGGCAACCACCAATTTGTTCTCTGGGTTAGGAGTCTGAAGGAGAGAATCAGGAAGGTTTAAAAGAAGAGGTGACATTGGCACTAGGTTTAAAAATAAAGGTGGTTCTCTGTGCAGAGTGCACATGGCGAAGGGAAGACGCTGGCCAAGCTGTCAGCTTTCACATGGAGCCACGTAATGACAACAGAGCAGCCTCCGAGATCCTGGGCTGTACCAAGCTGAAGAGCTCCCTGGAGGCCAAGGCGCAGGGGCCACTGTGTGCCACGCTGAAGGGCTTGAACTTTATCCACTGGCAAAAGGGTCTGATTTGTGCCTCTAAAACCTGGCTGTGGAACAGAAAGACCAGGAGAGCTGAGATCAGGAACAGGGAGATCACCAATGGAAAAGTGGAGTGAAGAGGGGTTAGGGGCTTGTACTAAGAACAGAAGAGAGAAAAGGCGGAAACAACAAAAGGGGAGGAATTAAGAGTGAGTCCCTGCTGGGATTCGGGGAGGAGGGGAAGGGAAGGCCTGTGGGTAGCCCTGAAAGGCTAGTGGGAGGCTCACCCACAGAGGGCATGCAGGGTGGGAGGATGTCTGAGTGAGGGAGTGGAGCTTCCCATGTGCATAGTCTCAATTACCATTTGCACCTCCAGGCTGGAGCATCCCATAAGTATGTAAATGCATGCATCAGTAGCATGCAGGGAAACTTCTCCTCTCTGGTCAGGCAGGAGTGATGGTAAGCTGGAGCCCTGGGAACGGATGAGTTCCTCTACAAGCTTGCAGTGTGCAAAGGTTTGGGGTCGAGGATGACACTGGGACAACACTGTCCTGTAAGGGCAAGTATTCTCTGGGCCTCAGTTTCCTCTTCTGTCAAGTGAGAGGGATGGGCTTCTGTGCTCTCTCGGGTTACTTTCTCCTCCACAGTGTCTCATTTCATGTTTTTTGTATTTGGCTCAGGCTTTCACTCACAAACGGCTCTCTTTTCTTTCCTCCACCTTTGTTATTTTTGGAAAAGGCTGTTTGAAGCTTAAGCTCCTCTGAAGTGGCCCCTTGATCCCTCTGTCATAAGGGCATGCATACGAAGAGTACAGCAGGGAGACTTTCCAGAAGAAGAAAAAGCAGGCGAGAATCAGGGCAGGTCTCAGTGCCAGGACATGGCCCTCCCCGTGCCTTCAAAGACACCACAAGAGCATGGATTTCCTTCCCCCTCCTCCGTTGTTCAGGGGAGGGTTTTTTTGTTTGTTTGTTTGTTTTATTATGTTATGTTAATCACTATACATTACATCATTAGTTCTTGATGTAGTGTTCCATGATTCATTATTTGCGTATAACACCCAGTGCTCTATGAAGAACATGCCCTCTTTAATACCCATCACCAGGCTAACCCATCCTCCCACCCCCCTCCCCTCTAGAACCCTCAGTTTGTTTTTCAGAGTCCATCTTCTCTCATGGTTCGTCTCCCCCTCCGATTTCCCCCCCTTCATTTTTCCCTTCCTGCTATCTTCTTCTTTTTTTTTTTTTTTTAACATATAATGTATTATTTGTTTCAGAGGTACAGGTCTGTGATTCAACAGTCTTACACAATTCACAGCGCTCACCATAGCACATACCCTCCCCAATGTCTATCACCCAGCCACCCCATCCCTCCCACACCCACCACTCCAGCAAACCTCAGTTTGTTTCCTGAGATTAAGAATTCCTCATATCAGTGAGGTCATATGATACATGTCTTTCTCTGATCGACTTATTTCACTCAGCATAATACCCTCCAGTTCCATCCATGTCCGTTGCAAATGGCAAGATTTCATTCCTTTTGATGGTTGCATAATATTCCATTGTGTGTGTGTGTATATATATATATATACCACATCTTCTTTATCCATTCATCTGTCGATGGACATCTTGGCTCTTTCCGTAGTTTGGCTATTGTGGACATTGCTGCTATAAACATCGGGGTGCACGTACCCTTTCGGATCCCTACAATTTGTATCTTTGGGGTAAATACCTACTAGTGCAATTGCTGGATCATATGGTAGCTCTATTTTCAACTTTTTGAGGAACCTCCATACTGTTTTCCAGAGTAGCTGCACCAGCTTGCATTCCCACCAACAGTGTAGGAGGGTTCAGGGGAGGGGTTTTTGATACACATCAGAAAAAGTAACACCAGCACCGGGCATTAAATACTCCTGGCTTTCCTCAGTACTCTCTCTCCTCATACTGGAGGGAGTTCTACCACTACAAATTGTGCCTAACGTATCGGCACCTCATTACTTACTAGTAGATTTAAATATTCCTAGTACCATAAAATTTTCATTGGCCCTATCCCCAATTATAATTTTACCTACTCTTCCTCTAACCAATGCCCACTATTTCCCACTTTTCTGCATCCCACTTGCGTGAGGCGCGTGCAGACAATCTCTGTGGAAAATACACCCAAATTCCTCTAGAAACCCAAGATAAAGGGGAGGAAATTCAATTTATTTTTTGTATACTGCCCATTTCTCATTAGCCTTGACTTCTCAAGCCCTTGGGTTATGGGCCAGTGCTTATTTTCATGGCTGCATTACTAGATTTTATTACATTTGTACTGAGAGGCAAGATGGTCTCATTTTATATCTGGGGAAATAGGTTTAGTGACCTGATGACAACCACTGGCCATGGATCAGTATATTTTCCCGATTATGTGAGTCCAGGGCCGTATGTTTTTGGTTGCCTGGGCAGAGTATAAAATGTATTACTCATCACATACAAATTCAACACCAGTGATCTATCACCCTCTTTCTGGCCCCACCCAGTGTCAGGAGATGGCAGCCCTCAGGATTTTCTACAGTTCTTGTAGGAAATTTGCAGGTCCAAAAGCATCATTCTTTTCTCTGTGCCAAATCAGGTCATGTGTCATTGAGAAGAAAAAAAAATGCTTCCTCTCACCTTTAACAATAAAATTTTTTTTTAGATATTGGAAATTAGGGATTCCAAGTATAAAGTCAGAAATGAATAAAAATGCAGTATGTGAGGCTTTCCCTGTACAGAACTGTGACTAGTCATTAGGTCTCTGTCCCTGGAATAAAATACTTGCCTCTTGCAAAGGCCCATGATATATCCGGAAAGCAGTGTAAGAATTGTTTCCTCCCTTTGTGTGTGTGTGTGTGTGTGTGTGTGTGTGCGTGTAACTCTTCCCTAAATCCTTATTGTCAACACAGTCTCCTAAATGGACCACTTCCAGCCATAACCACCTGGGG